GAGTGGTGGGGTGGACACAGGCATCATCCAACACCTTGTGTGGCTAGAAATGATGGATGCTACAGGAAAACTGCAGCACTGATCCAAAAATCTGGCAGGGCTCAAGTCAGCATTGCTCACATAGCCAACCTCAGTGGATTCCTTTAACCTAACATTTGATTCAGCATTGGAGGCTTTGAGACAACTGCAGGGGAAAAGCAGCAAAGTGGGGATGTTGGAAAGGGACCTCCCAGCACGGCTGGGTCCTGCGCCTGCTCTCCACTCTAATCTCTTCCGTTGGGTCATTTTATCTTATCAAGTAAAAAGCCCCAGAAATAGAAACTTTTCCATAGTGAACAGGACAAGCCCTGAGGTGCATAAGCCCCAAGCTGTGCATTGCTTCATTGTTCCAAAAAAAAAAAAAGGTATCTGTCAAATAGATCCCCGATGGCTCATGTCAATGCTTTATCTCCATGGGATAAGGCTCCGTGGAGGCAGGCGCTGCTGTGTGCAGTGCTGAGCTGCCCTGGGAGCGTTGGTCCCTCTGCTGAGGATGTCGGAGGGCAGAGCAGGGACAGCTGCCTGCTTTGGGGTCATCACAAAGAGAATCCGCAAAGTATTCGGGCACTTTCCCAAGCCCAAATCCTGCTCGGAGGGATCGTGGAGGCTGAGCAGGGAGGGCTCACAGCTGAGAGGTAAGGGCTGCGTTTGGGTGTCTGCTGGTTGCTACTGCTAATGAGGGGTAATGGGATTCCATAGAGCACAGCTGAAAGTGCTTCATGCCTCAGCTGTGCTGCTCAGGACTGGTCCTGGTGTGCCAGCACACCTCTGTGCCCGGGGGTTGAAGCTGCTCCATTAGGAAGCAATGGCTTTGGAGCATCCCTAGCCCAGTGGCTGCTTTGTGCTCCGGTCCCACTGTGGTGCAGTGGCTGAGGTCAGCCCCTGATGCTGGACAGCTTTGAAGAGCATTATGCCAAAGGATGCCAACGGCACTCGGGGCTGGGCAGGGTGACTGCAGGCTGTGCTGAGGCGGATGGATGAACATCCGGATGGGGTTCGGTTGCAAATCCAGTGTTATCACCTTGAGAAACTCCATCTGCATACAGAGGGAAGTTCCTTTGTGCCACCAAAGTTTCTCACTACGTTGCGATCCGGCTCAGAGGTTTTCTTTTTTAAAGCAACTGTTTCCAACCGTGGCTTTGTTTGACTTGAATAGAAATGATCTCACGGTCGCAGGGGAGGCATCCTGCCCCGTCACGTGGCTGCTTCCCAGGGCCGTGCCGGGCTTCTAAAATTAGTGCTGCCCACCAGATAGTGGTGATTAGGGCTGTTAATAGGCGGCGGTGACTAAGGAGGTGTCATGCTGTAATCGTGTGGGGAAATGGCTGGCTGTGCCAGAGGTGGATTCAGGAGCTGTGATTTGTGGTCCGTGTTGCGCACTGCAGACTGCTCCCCGTGTGGATGCTCCACCATTCCCACCCCAGAGGCTGTGTGTGGGGATGGCTGGCTGAATGTGATGCATTTGGGGCTGCTGTGTTGGTGCTCAGGTGGGGCTGCAGCCGCAGCCTGCCGTGCTTGGAACCTCCAGCACAGAGATGGCAAATGTCCCACTGAGCAGCTGCTCCAGCTGTTCGAAAGGTCATGCATTGCGTTACCATGCAACTGCTCAGCTTATCCCTAATTAAAATTAAAAAAAAAAAAAAGGGGGGGGGGTTAAAAATAAATAAGACCCCCTTGCTTTTTTCTCAGCCTTGAGAAAACCGGCTGGAAATGGGAGGATGGCAGCTGGTGTCGGATGAACGCTGAACAATCAGTGGTTCCCCTGAGGGAGATGCTCTGCCCCAGGCACTGCTCCCACAGCACCAATGCTCTGCTCCTGCCCAGGAATTCCCTGATAGGAGCAGGCATCTCCAGTGAGAGAGAACGTGGGATGTCACTTTTCTTTTTGCAAGTCTGAGAGGTTCGAAAGCAATGACCCAAATGCCAAAAAATAATAGAGGGAAAGGCAGGTTTTCCTGCAGAGGGGACCTCTGTTCTGGTGAGAATGTTATTTTTTTGGGAGGAGATGGGTGTTGGGTATCCGGCAGGTCAGTGACTGTGCTGGAATTGTAGGTTGTGTAAAAAAATAATTGATTGAATGCTGTTTGTAGGGCTGTTAAAAATTAAAAGGGTGGAAGGGCTGCTGGGGGAAGCGATAGCTGCGCTCGGGGGATGCGGCTGCAGGCAGCTCCCATTGGTGCTGGTGGTGCACGATGGGGAGGACCCGGGCTCCTGGCTGCTCTCCCATCACAGCATGGCTCTGTTCTCTCTCAGACTGCAGGTACACGTGCCACCAGCAGTGTCACAGCCTCGTCCAGCTGGACTGTCGCCGGCCCGACCCCGGGCAGCTCTCTCCTGAGGGCACCATTGTGCTCCCCTGCAGCCAGGTATGCCCTCATGGTGGTTTCAGCCTCTCTCTGAACCCCATTCCTTGCTCTTAGCAGGATGAGATTGTGTTGCAGAGGTCAGCCTGCGGCCCCAGCTGATGCTTGCTAATAAATTCCCTATATCCCTGTGTGTCTTGTGCACATCACCTGGTGGGAGGAGATGGTGTACAGGGCCCTTGCCCCTGGCTTTGAATGTAGATGCAGGTGTCTGATGGATGCAAAGCACTGCATGGCAAAGGAGGAAAAGTGAAGGTGTTCTCTGCCAAGATGCAGAAGAAATGCAAGTGTGGGTCTGGCAGTGAGATTTGGCTTCGTGTCTTCCAGTAATTCTGGGGGAACTGAGGCTCCCCAGTCTGGGTGAGGGACGCTGTACACCAGGCTGCTCCAGGAGGTTTTGGCACGGAATGCATCTAAAAGCAGCACTGTGTGCTTGGTGCTGCTGTGAGATGCTGCTGGGCTGGGTGGCTTCTCCTTTGAGTTCTCTAAGTAAGGGAATGAGGCCGTGGATGTGTTTGTTTGCATCTTCCTCATGCGTCAGTGGGTTTCCCCCCATCAGTGTTAGGAAAGTGTGATTTTTAGTAAAATTAAAGGCTCGTTTCCTCTTTAGGGTGATGAAGGCAGCGGGGGGTTATTGATGGCTCTGGTAATGACCACAGAGCCCTCATCAGTTCATCACTGATGTGTTCCTGATGTCCTCCCATCACAGCCCCAGTGAGGAGAAAACAAAATGGGAATAGGTGCCAAAATACACTGGGGTGATGGGGAACAGCACACTGGGAATGTGGGAAATGCCATGGCTGGTGTCGTTGGCAGCCAGTAAATAGCATTATCAAATGTAAGCAAAGCAGGAGCGTCGGAGAAAGTTAATAAAGTCCTGTTGGCACGGAACACCAAGCATTAATAATTTGGGCTTTGATCCAGCAAAGTACTTAAGTGTGCTGCATTTGGGTCCTGGATCATTCTTCCTGGGCACAGTGCAGCCAGCACAGCCTCTGCTGGGCTCAGCCCTGGGGCTGCAGCACCTGGGATTTCCTGCAAGAAGAAAGGCTTCGAATCAGATTTTCAGTCTTTGTGTTACCAGATCTCCAGGCACAGGGCTGTGATGGCTGTGATGGCAAAGTCCAGGCTGCTTGGAAAGCTTCGCATAGGCAGCTCCCTCCTGCTGTAACCCCAGAATGCCCTGAGCTGAGGCTTCGGTGCTGACCCAACTCCACACCTGACGCAGCACTCGGTTCAGCTCATGCCCTGCACGCTTGATTTAAGCCTATTTCTCTTCTAAATATAACCTAGGCAGGCTGTGGAGGCTGATGCCACCGTGCCACTGCAGAAGTGTGCATGTTGCTATGAGGAGAGCTTTGCTTTTTTGCAGTGTTATGAGTTGCTTTGTAAAGGTGCCATCTGGATTCTCTCCTTCCGCGTTTGCGATGCAGACGTCGCACCTCCCACTGTGCAGTGCTGTTGTTGTGTTTGTGGTGCACAGCTGGAATTGGGTCTGGAATGTGCTGGTGGTGAGCTGGGCACAAAGAATGGTGCACGGAGGGGTGCTGGTAGTGGAGAGTGTGGGGCTGGAGGTCAGCTCTGTTTGGACCTCCTGCACTGTTGATAGGATGCCCTGCAAGCCGCAGGAAATGCAGCCACAGTGCTGCAGAGGAGAAGAAAAATGCATTCCCTATCTGTAAAGTTTCCAAATATGTACAGTTTGAGCATAACTAGAAAGCAACCTGGAGCTTCTTTATCTGCACCAGGGGATGGGAGCAGCCCCGAGCAGGGGTCTGTGCCAGACTGAATTGCTGAGCATGAGTTTTCATCCCCCTGCAGTGAGGGGATTGCTGCAAACGGGGTGAAGGAGCTGGGTGGCATTTCCCTGGCTTGCACCCACACCTGGGGCCGGCTCTGCTGGAACCGCTGCTCCCAAAGCATCGGCAGAGCAGAGGGGCATCCACTGCCCCCTGCACAGCGCTGCCCTGGGCTCCCTACCCCTTCCCCACCTGTTTCTGGGGCAGCGCATCTCTGCGAGCATCCCTCGCTCCAGCCTGGGTTTGTTTCCCAGCGCAGCTCTAACGACGCAGGGAAGGAGCAACGCGCTCTCCGAGCTCCGCATCAAGGACACGTTTCCAGGCATCAGCCCCACGGGAAGCTCCGGGGCTGCCCGGCACCTCATCCCTGCTCTCAGGGTGAGAAATTTTGCAATGAGGAAGCGGGCGCGCTGCGCAGCAGGAAGGGGGAGGCGATGCTGAGCAGCGAGCTGGGGGCGAAACGGCACGGCGGCCGCTCCATGCTGCGCGGAGGCGGTGGAGGAGGAGAAGGAGGAGAAGGAAGGGTTACCCGAATTCGGGAGAGATCGCTGCGGAGGATGAGCGGCGGGAGCTGCAGATGAGCGGCGGGCAGTGCGGGATGTGAGCGCTGCTGGGCTGCCTTCGATGACCATCGGCAGCAGCATGAGCAGCGGGTACTGCAGCTTGGATGAAGACCTCGAGGATTGCTTTTTCACGGCTAAAACCTCTTTCTTCCGCAGCGCTCAGAGCAAGGGCCCCGCCAAGGTAACGGCTCAGCAACTGCAGCGAGGGGGGCTGTGCGAAGCGGGAGCTGGTGGTGGGTTCTGGGCACGTTTGGCTGCAGGTGCTGCTGGAATTTGCTCGCTGTGAGGTTGAAGGGGCCCTGCCTGCCTCCTGCAGGCTCGCTGCAGGGCTTTGCTCTGCTGCAGGGTTTCTCAGCCTTTCGATACTTCTTTGCCTCCTTCCTGGAGGGTTTGCAGAGAAGGAACCGACTCCGAATGTTGGGGGTTGCAGCTGTGTTTTTTGGGTTAGATCCCCAGCCAGAGTCCTGTGGTTTGGCCCCCAAAAAAGTGTTGATCACTGTGCAAACTGCACCTGTTGGATAGGCAGTGAGATGGGAGAATTCCAGGACCAAATTCATCTGCAAAGTGGTGATTGCAGGGATGGATCCCATCCTTACCTGGGTGTGCGGTGCTGCTCTTGGGGAGAGCACTGCCTGGGCAGAGTCACTGCGGGGTGAGATTTGTGACATCAGTAACGCAGAAAATGCACAGAGCTGCCTCACTGTTGAAGTGTTACATTTAAAAATACGGCAACACATCCCTGCTGTAAACTTTGCCCCAACCAGAAGTGAACAGAAAAGCAGAAGGAGAGCAAAAGCTACTGCGGAAGTGGGGTTTTACTCAGGAAAAGCCCTGAAGTGCTGAGAGATGAGATGTTAGGTGGGGGACAGCGGTGGGGAGGGCACTGAGAGGGCTCCAGGAGAGGCTGGGGTCACCAAAATCAGCAGCACTGCACTGCTCACGGCCATGCTGTGTTGGCATGCCTGGGGCTGATGGCTTCCAGCCCCCAGCAGGTGCTGTGGGGTTCCGTTTCTGCAGCACAGGGCTTGAGCTGCTCTGCTGGTGACCTGGGCTGTGATCCCTGCAGGGCCTTCCATCAGAATAACGTTGCAAATAACAATTTTTTTCGAAGAAATTCTCCCTTGGGTTTCATGTGGGATCTTCCCGCCCGCCGCCAGCTCCCTCTCGCTATGATTACCAACACGTACTGCTGCTTTCTAAATGTCATCTGATGATTCATTTGTGTAGGAGGTGTATGAGATTACGATGTCAACCATGGTGCAGTGCTGGTTCTCACTGTGCTCGGGCACTGCAGCTCCTCCAGCTTGGCCCTACCTGTGGGCTCTCCCTGCACAAAGATGCTCAGGTGCTGCGGTGCCTTCTGGCCAGGCTCCTCTGCTGGAGGTTGACATGGTGGTTGCTGGAGAAGATGGAGCCTGCTGGGGTTGTGTGGAATAGCTCCTGCTCATGAAAAAACACAACACTGGTTGCCCCAGTGGGTGGAGGTGGACCCCAGCTTTTTTCTGGCTGGGGGGTGGAAGCTGTCTGCAGGACTTTGGTGGAGGAAAGGAGTGGGGCTTGCAGGCGCAGGAGGTGAGATTGCGGCTTGGCTTGGTAGGGAAGTGGTCCCAGCAGGTTGCATGCACAGGGCACATCTCTTGGGGGTCCTGCATCACTCTGCCCCTCTCTCTTCTCTCCAGATGGCATCAGGAGCTGCTGCTGTCAGGAACATCCTGTTTATTTTTAACTAAAGTTAAAAGCAGAGGTGGCAGAACAGCTGTTTCCAAGTGAAATCTCCATGGCAATCAATGCCTGAGCCTGCAGCTTGCTGCTAACCTCTCAGAATGCACTGCGAGGCTTTTCCCTTTCTCTAGAGCTGCTTTCTGCCTTTTCCTCTGAGCCCCACAGTAAACAGCATTGCCTTGTCTGAACTTCTTGAAGGTGGTGAAATGTGCAGATCTTATCTGCAGCACCTTGGGGAGCTGTGAGGGAGGAGAGCAATGGGGTTGGGGTGCTGTCCTCATAGAACAGCGCTGGCACCAGGTACAGCAGGGTGCAGGGCTGCTGACCTTAGGAAAGGCTTTTGTTTGGGTTTGGTTCCTGCAGAAGGCTGTGGGAAGGATGCTCTCCAGCTGGAAGTGGAGCACTTCTCCCCCCAGCATCTTTGCGAATGGATAAATGCAGAAGTCGGTCACCGAGGCAGAGCGGTTCTTTGTTGGCTCTTGACTCCAGATCTCTCTTTTGAGAGCATGTCACCACAGTCACAATGGCCCCAGGGCTTTGCCTTCCCCCATAGCAGCCTCTCACGAGCTCACCCATTTCTTACATCCGAGGAGCAGTGCTGGTTAGAGGAGGAGCTGCATGGCAGGGGGATGCGAGCTCATCTCCATGCTGCATCGCCCTGCATCCCACACTTTGCTGTGCCATGAGGGTGCAAAGGGTTTGGGGTCCTTTCCCCCCCACGTTGCTCTGTCCTGGTCCCACAGTCTCAGCAGTGCCCCTGGGGTTGTTACCGTGAGCTTCTGTTGTTTGCAGCTTGTTTCATCCTGTCCCCATACGACAGGAAATGTGGCAACGGTTGATGGTTAAGAGCTTTTCTGTTTTTCTTCCTTCAGCAGCAACTGTGCGTTCTGCAGCAGAAACCACAAAACCAGAGATGTGGACAGGTTCATGAAGAGCAACGCACCGCTGACCTCTCACTGCTGCTCAGTGTAGGGAGCAGCATAGCTCCTTGCAGGCTGGGTCCTGCTGTGCACTAAATATGTCCCTGTGAGCACAGGAGGGCATGTGGGCAAAGCATCACTCCCACAGTGTCAGTGAGGGGAAGAGAGAGCCTTTTTCTAGCAGTGTTTTGCTGCAGCGTTGGTGCAGCACAACACGTTGCAGCCTCCCTTCCAGCATCACAGCTCTTTCAGGAGTTGCTCTGGCTATTCCAAGCTGCTGCAGTGTAAATGAGAACTGAGGCAAGCTGAGCTGATCTATTTGCTTTTGCTGTGCATGTTTGGAGGGTGCTGGTCTGCATTGGGTGGGGGTTGTGCTATGGAAACAGTGCAGCACACACATGGTCTGTATGCAGTGTGGCTGCAGTAGGGTCAGGGCAACACCCTGCAGATGGAGGGATGCACCTCTGTGCATGCATTTAAGACCTACTGCAGTCAGTAGACTGCAGTGTTGATGTGTCTTACAGCAGATTGTGGAGCTGAGATCGCCAGTGTGATAAAGGAATGTTGGTGTGCAATTCTTGAATACCACACCAAGCTTTGCTTTTAGTTTTTTAAGGCAGTGAACAAGAAGGAGAATGCAAGACAGTATCAGTGCTCTTCTGTTGGGTTACTGCTGCTTCCAGAGGTCTTGCACTGTTTGTCAGCCTTGAGCAGAAGTTGAGACATCTGCTTTGGGGAATGGCTTGAATGAATCTGAGGCTCTCCAAGTCCCAGAGCTGGAGCTGTTTTGCCAGATTGCGACCAGAGCTCTTGTTTGTCCGGCGCTTGATTCTTCTCCTGAAAGAAATGCCACAGCCTGGGGCGATGCTGCCTATGGTGTGCTCATCTGATGGATGGGAGCCTCCTTCTGCACCTGGGAGGAAACGCTGTCCAGATCTTGGAATTAAGGCTGAGAAGTGCAGGGCTTTGCTCCTTATGTTGCTTTTTCCACACTTTCTTGTTTTCCTGTGAAAGTTGCCCTTCCTGCTCTGATCCCTATCAGCCTCCAGAGCTCATCTCTTCATGCCAACTTCGGAGGCAGCCCACACAGCAGGCAGAAGATGTGCAGCTTCAACTTCAAGCCATGGGATTCTGTCCCCTCTGTGTCCCCAGGGCATGGAGTGCTGGCACCTGAAGACTGGAGCCCTGTGGGATCTGCACCTTGGGGTGGGAATGCAACGGGCCTGTTTAGCTGTGCTGGAGCATCTTTTCTGTCCTCGCAGTGGGGTTTTGGAACGGAGCGTTTTGGATTCCGTGTTCCTGCAATGCCTGTGGATGCCTGGGCTCCATGTGTTGGACTGTTCCATGTGTGGGATCGCATCCTGACATTTCCTTCCCGGGGGGATCCGTGGGCCTTTGCAGCCGGTGCCTTATGCTTGGCATATGGAAGGTGGGAGCACTGCTCGGCTCTCTGTGAGCCTGCAAATCCCATCAGGAAGCCATCTGCAGCAGCAGCACATCCCCGGGGCTCTGTGAGCCCCACTTTGCATCCTGAGATGAGGCTCCCCAAATCAAGGCATACAGCAGCAGCCACGGGCTCAGCCCTGTCACTGCACACAGCACTGTGCACTGCAGCAGCCCTGCGTGGAGCTCTGTGCCTTCACCACGTGTCCCTTTCTCTAATTCATCTTTCATGCTTTGCCACCTTCAGAGAAATTCTGCTCTCCTGTACAGAGTGCTGAAAGCTTATTTTAGCTGAAATTTTCTATATTTGTTTTTCTATTAAAGAAGAAAGATGTCTCTGCAGTGCCAGAGGAGGACACTCTGGAGAGGCTTTCCTCTACTTGTGCTGCACTCAGCACTGCATGTCCTGGAGCAGCTCCTCCCTGAGCTCATGAAATGCTCTGTTTGTGCATCTCCCAGCAAGACAGCTGTTTGGACACAGCATTACCCCAAACAAACCCACTGACACCATCTCCTCTTCTTCCAGAATGTAACGCAAGCTGTAGAAGAAAAACCAGAGCCTCCAACTGTTGAGGAGATCAAAGAGAAGATCGAAAAATACAATGCAAAAGTTACAAACTGCCTGCTGATGAAGCTGGTAGGTATTGCTGTCATGTTCATCTCAGCTGGGAACGTTCACCCATATCACCCATATCTCTCAGTGATAGCTGAGAGCCACTTGCCACCAACAGATAGGGGTGAGTTTCCATTGCAGGCTTGTTTCCATAAGTAAAGCTGTGAGGATGCACAGTGAAAAGCAGGATCTGATTTACAAAGCAAAGTGCCACAGAAGTGCAAATTTGAGATGCTCTCACAGAGCAGTGGGAAAGGCTTTGTGAAACACCAGGTTAAACTGTGGAGCTTCCACGAACAGCAGCTCTGTAACCTCCTGCTGGTGTCTGAAAATCAACCTAAAGTTTATTCAAAATAGTCAAGATTAGAACAGTTTCTAACCAGCTGATCTGGAGCTATGGATTATTACATAGAGAAGTGAAAATCCTCTAATGGGGGGGTTAAAAACATGGCATTCCACTGCGCATGAGGGGTTCCCAGAGCTTTAAAACCCTCATTTAACTGTAATTTATGATAGTTTCCATAGCCAACTTGTAGAAGTGTTGATGTAAAGTAAGAGAAGACAGCACAGCTCTAGGAGGAGGTGAGTCACCGTGGAGTGGAAGGAACAGAAAGAAATCGGCAGTGACTAACCGTAAATCACCAGTTGCTTCTTGCATCGTGGCCAGAAGCCCCAAAGCTGTGCAGAACGGCGTCACCCACCCACACTGTGTGTCCATTTGCAGAGTGATGATGGGACCTACACAGGTTTCATCAAGGTGCACCTGAAGCTGCGCCGCCCGGTGACGGTGCCGGCGGGGATCCGACCGCAGTCCATCTATGATGCCCTCAAGGAGGTGAACCTGGCAGAAACCACAGACAGGAGGACGTCCTTCTACCTGCCTCTGGATGCCATCAAGCAGCTGCACATCAGCAGCACGACCACGGTGAGCGAGGTGATCCAGGGGCTGCTCAAGAAGTTCATGGTGGTGGATAACCCGCAGAAGTTCGCGCTGTTCAAGGAGATGCGGAAGGATGGGCAAGGTGAGTTTGTAGGGCCCCAAAATGGCTCAGGTTGGAAAAAGCCTCAGAGATCCCCCAAACCCAACCCATCCCACCACGTTTTGGCGTCACATCTCCGCGTTCCCTGAACACCTCCAGGGATGGTGACTCCTTCACCCCCTGGGCAGCTGTGCCACAGCATCACCACTCTTTCAGAGAAGGAATTTTCCCTTGTATCCAACCAGACCGTCCATCCCAGTTCCCTCAACCACTCCCATGCCCCCAAGACCCAACACAGATCACTGATAGATGCTCATTGCCTTGACAACAACCCTGAGCACCACAGCCTGCTCCCAAAGCCCACACCACTGTTCTAAGCCTCCCTCCGGGCTCTGCAGGGCTCACAATGCTGTCTGCTGTCCCTTGCAGTCCTCCTGCAGAAGCTGCCCCTCACTGAATTCCCCCTGTACCTGCGGCTGCTGGCTGGCCCTGACACTGATGTGCTCAGCTTTGTGCTGAAGGAGAACGAGACAGGGGAGGTGGAGGTAGGTCTGGGGCTCCTTCCCTTGGTTTGTGCATGAACATGTATTTTTTGGGATGGACCTGCAGGTCCCAACAGGAGTGAGCCAGGCTCCTCCCCCCTCTAATACTGTTGGTTTTACCCCTAAAGTGTTGTTTGATTCCAGCTGTTCCCCAAACTTCTCAGACTGCTTGTGTCTTGCTTTGAGAAAATACATCTCTGGGTCATCTGTTGCTTTCTGGATTGCACTGATTTAAAAATAAATCCTGCCATCTATTTACAGTGCTATCCCAGAGTTAAACCTCCGTAATCAGATTCAGCTAAATGCTGCCATAAGTAATCCATGAGTTTAAATAGAAGCTTGGGATGCCCAGGTGATGAAGCTTTATGCCATGGCAGTGCTCCCTGCTGGGACTCATTCAGATGTCAGCGCCTGCCTGGGAGCTTTCATTCATCCAAGCACGGATTCCTACTGAATCCATGGCTGTGTGGGCTCAGAGCTGGGCTGGTCCTTCACGGCTCCTTGTCCTGGTGCTCTCACAAGGATGCTTGGAGGTTATGCTCCCTGCAGATCAGCATGCATTGATCCTCTACAGATTCAGGAAAAAGCTGCAAAAGCCACAGGGTGAATTACGTGCGCTCACTTTGCCTCTGCTTTGCCGTTCCTGCAGTGGGATGCATTCTCCATCCCAGAGCTACAAAACTTCTTAATGATCCTGGACAAAGAAGAGAAGGACAAAATCCAGCAAGTGAAAAGGAAGTATGAGAAGTTCAAACAGAGACTGCAGCAGAGCTTGAAAGAGGCTGGAGACAAACCTGGCTAACCCTCAGGGCACACCGGCAGTCAGACTAAGCTACGTGTGGTTCTTAAAAAGAACAGACTCTTCTCAGGACACCTTTTGGTGGTCACCCTCCCTCTTCATCCCTCCATTAAGGACGTAGCACCCATTCCATGGACGTGTTGTGTTTCCTTCTTTTGAAACCTCGTACCCCAGGACCAGATCCAGCCCAACAACAGGACGCCGGCACCAGAACTGCTGGGGCGCGCTGAGCAGCTCTGTGGGCAACGCTGAACCCAGCAGGAGAAGCAGGCTGAGCTGCTCACGCTCCTCCCAGCAGCTCTCTTGCTACGGCTCTGCAGTTGCGTGTGCCCTCGTTGCCCAGCTCTCATTTCTTAAGCAGGGCACAGGAAGGAGCAGACAACACAGAGGTTGGTGCGCCGACCCATGCGGGTGTTGCAGCTGTAACCGATGCCAGACAGACTTGTTCAAGGCTGAGGTGGGAAATGCAGCCGTGGCAGCTGCAGCACCCTGATAGTCCTTTGGTAAGTGATATTCAATCCAGGGAAAGTCATTTATTTTGTTGCTAATTAATTTCAAGAAGAGACTTGAATTTGAGCAAATATCCATGACGCTTAGCTGAGCTAGCCTGTGTGTTAGGAGTTTTCTACTCTGTAGGAATTGGGACCTATGTTTTAAGAGAAAAGCATGAAGATGGGGGTGTGGGATGGTGGTTCTGCATAGAACCCTGAGCAATACACAGCCAGCAGACGATTGCAGGGAAGCTCAAAGCCCTCTTTCACCAATCAGACCCATTTTGGGCTGTGAAGGGGTCTGGCAGGAGGGAGAGGAGCTCCAACCCAGGCTGGCTTGTGGACGTGTCCACAGCAGTGTCTGTGCAGGAGATCCTTAGCACCAGGAAGAGCAAGGAGACCACAAACCTGAGATGCTTTCCTGCCACCACCCCCTTGCACCATGCCTCCTCTTGCTGACCCCCCATCCCCCGTGCTGTTCTCCCACCTCTTTTCTCCCTTCCTAGTGCAAGGGATGCTGTGGGGATGCCAATCCCAGAGGCGATTTCCCCACCTTTACTTTCAGCACTTTGTACTGAGCACACGGCACGTTCCATCTTCCCTCTGTTCAGAGGACAGTGCAGCGCAGAGTGAAAAGTGAACGTGAAAACTAGCTGGATACAGATGGAGCATCTGAAATGCTCCTGGTGACCCGAGTGTCTCCCACTAATGCAAAGTAGAAAGGAGCAGGTTATTAGGGAACAGATGATGGAGACAACTTGGAAGAGTCTAAAATTTACCTCAGTGCCTTTTATTTTTCCTGAAGTGTGAAAACTTTACATTTGGGTTAAAGAGGAGGTTGGAAGGGGCTTTTGCCAAGGCCTTGGCAGTGCTCCCCCAGGTCCCTGCAGGCTGCTTTTATCCAGAGAGAGAAGAGGAACTGTTGTTCCTTTCTGCAAGATGACTGCTTGGCTTTTCTTTTTCCCCTCCCTAGATTTATACTTGAGTATGCTTGTTTATAAAGGTATGAGAGTAACTGCATCACTTACAGCCCTCACTTGGTACAAATGCCACTTGGTGCAAGCTCAGCTCCAGCCCTTGCCTTACTCAGTGGTGTAAAAGGGTTTCCAGGCGAGGCTCCAGCCACTGCCACACGCTGCAGGAAGGGCCTCCCAGCTGTACTGTATTCTCTACCCAGATGACCTTTAACAGCGTGGCAGCAGCCCAAATAGAGCAGTAATTTTCATGCTCCGGGGCTGCTTGCCTGTTTATAAAGATACTTATTACTTTGCTATGCACTTGTGAAGTAATTTAAGTAACATTTATCCACTGCTTTGAGTCTTGGAAGCACTGTACAAATACTTCTGTTCGGTTGAGTGTAAGGACACTGTAGAAACTGCCTCTGGTTCTGAGAAACAAGACCCAGATGCTTGCTTTCAAATCCCTTATCTTTCTGGCTATCAGTTTCAAAAAGATTGCTCTTATTTTTCCTGGTTGCTGTTGTCTTCTACTCGAGTTCTGGTGACCATCTCCCCTTCCCTTCCTGGAACCCAGCATGTCTTTGACATTCTGTAGAAGGCATGGCTTCTTATGCAATTACTGTGAATGCTGCTGAAAACCTCCTGCAAAGAGGAGGGGTTTTTTTTCTTTCTTTCTTTCTTTTTAAAGATGTGGGGCATTGGAAGTGGTAGATATTGAAACTCAGCTTCCCAGCAGTCAGTTGTGTCCAGGACAGGCATATTGGGCCCCTTCCTTATGCTGAGTACTGTTGGCAGTGCCTTTGGTTGTGTTGTCTCTGCCTTGTTTGTGTGACTTTATTTCTCCTGGCTCTTGTACAACATGTAAAATAATGTGTATAGGACGGAACAAGCAAAGCTTCTATGGCAAAGTGAAATGCATTTTTTGCGATGCTGTAATTTATTTTTATTACTCCTTAGGAATTCTATGGCATTTTTAAAAAATGTCTCATTCCCAGCTTTTTTTTTTTTTGAAGGTTCTGAAACTACTTATTCATATGCAGACAGTGTAAAAGACAACGACAATAAAACTGTCACTAATTAAAATAATTAAATCTCTGACTTATTTTTCTGGCGCCCTCTTATGGCATTTTCTTGCCTTGAGTCTAAAGGCAAAATATGGGAGTCCTTCCAGAACTGAATGTGAAGTCTAAACTTCAACGAAAGCAGCACAGAGCATTTACTTCTGAGAATCCAAGTGTTCCATTAATTGTCTTTAGTATTTATTAGTATTAATTTGTCTCTTGTATTTAGATGGCTTTGACAGAGCTACTACCTCTCATAAGCTGCAGTTAATGTTATACATGCAAGTAAGAGTTTGCTCTGCACCCTGGAATGTCTTCATATCAATACCTGGAAGTGTTTACAGGGATGACATCTAAGCCAAATGCTTTTTTATGTGATATAAATGCTCTATGGCACAATGTCCTGGAACATTCTGGATGAGGTGCTATCACAATGCTTTGGTTCAAAAGGTGGTAAGTAAGAATCTCAAGCTGGCTGTGAGGTTCTATAGCAAAAAATGCCCATATATTGGAAAATATATGGAAAAGGATAAAGCTGTTAATTTTTTTTTTTCAGCTTTTTATTCTTATGAAAAACGATCACTGAGAGCAACATTATTATTTGGGATAATCCCAGCCCATGTAGAAATGCAAGGCTTTGAATGAATAAGGCCTGTACACAACCTTGATCTGCTGGCAGGACGTTTCTATAAATAATGAGAGCTGATTAATTCTTACAATAGATTTCTCTCCTACTTTTTCCGGCCGAGCTTTGGAGCCTTCTCAAGGCCTTGGATGTATTTCCGAGGTAGCTGGTACTCTTCTGCAACATGAAGAAGAGTTCATTTTAGGTAACAATGAAATCACTAACTAGAATCTGGATCTTGCTATAACTAGTCCAAGCCCTGGTCCAGAACAGACTTACCTAGCAGCATCTTGGCCAGATGATGGACTTGGTTGCCTTGGATCTGGACCTGAACTCTGTCTTTTGCTCCAGGCACTGGGGTGATGGTGGTGCTGGCCTGAACTTTCTGTTGTAGAATATTGGCCACACACTGTGGGTCTAAACCATACAGCTCGAGGTTCTTGATGATTGTCACCTGAAGGTTCCAGCAACGATTGCAGACTGTCAGCATTAATACACTGCACCCCCTTCATCCCAGAAAAGCAAGCTGCCCTCACAATCAGGACTCGTTCATATCCCACCTTTTTGTCTCTCTTCTTACCTTCTTGTTTGACGACCTCTGTGCAGTGCTTATATCAATGGGCTCAATGTTTCCTTTCCTCACAATGGGTTGTTGTCCACAAAATGTCACCTGGTGTAAGGGCTGCAGACGCTCGAGGCACCTGAACAAAGTTTATAGATCCACTTGGTCTACACAGCACAGCAGGACTGATGTGAACTGTGTTTCTTCTGCTGCAGCCTATCACAGGTTTTTGAGACTATTAGTTTAGAACTGCATGGCCAGAGCTTGAACATAAAGAACAGGATGACTACTACTGCCTAAAGAGGGCATGTTCACCTATCTGCTGCAAACAATAGCTTCACAGATATGTATTTACAGATCGTACAGAGAATCAGGCAGTGCTTGTTTAGGCATCTTTTCCTGATAGTTAGCATGTAAACAAAAACAGAAAGTTACTGACAGATGGTGGTTAAATGGTGAAGAATGAGGTAGGATTGAGCTGAAGGTCTCTGGATGTTTTCTGTATCACCAGGAGGAAGTTACAACTCCAGTAACTCCAATGACACGGGGCTCTGACCTTGTGATAAACTTGACATAATGTGTTTCAGTATCACACAGAATTATCACAATGGAAAAACAGTCACCTGCTCACAAGGTCATCCCACTTCAGGTGTGAGATTTCATCTTGCTCTGATTTATCCAGCAGGCAGTCACACAGAATGGCATTTACTTTCACAAAGCTGTAGAAGGAAAACATGCGTTAGGAGAAAACAAATTCACTTCTTGTTTCATATTCAGCATCTCCTGTGGAAGCAAGGTAGGACAGCTTTTTTTTTGTATACTCACTTCTTGTTTGTTTCATCAACCAACTCGTTAGTCTTCACGTAGTTAATGATGATGTTTCTCACCTCGCTGCTTGAGAGGATGCTTCCTTTTCTAAACAGAAAGAAAACTTGATTGCCTCCCCTTCAAAGCGAACAAAATGGCAGCAACACAAGTTTGTTAGCCTATCTCTTAGCCCAACAATTGATTTTAGTGCATTTTTCCAGTGCTCACCTGTGTCCAGAGTCCTGAAAGAGTGGCACCATCTTTGCTGAGACCCCATACAGAGGTATGATTTCAGGAGCACGGTATACTTGTTCCCTGTCTTCACTCTTGCTGTCTTGGGCAGCAGAGGCTGAAGAAAATCCTTCAGGTACTGCAAATGCTTTAATGCTGGGGGAAAAAAAACCCCAATGTTATTTGGTGGGAATAAGAGGTTGAAATCTGTAATATCAGTTTCTGTGCTTGCAAGTAAGCTGAGCTTGAGTGTAACTGTGCCTCCTAATGACAAGGTTGAGGATGATGAAAGTTAATGCAAAAAGTCAAATTCTGCTTCTTTCCAAATGCAGAAGATATGCTTGCATCTACCAAAATATTCCCCAGCCCATCAGTTGCCAAGGAGATGTTACATAACAGCAGAACTCAGACCCAATGGGAAATTCCAAGAGAGAGCTTTCTGTGCTGATATGCGAGAGGAAGGAATCTGGTTCTGGATATAACTATTAATCCTTAAAAAGAGCTGATAATCAGGTAATAAGCAATTAAAAAGGTATTTGTGTGAATCAGTGTGTAAGGTGAAACAGTTTTTAAGGTTATAACTCTGGCTGCTGATCTGACAAAGTGGCTGATTTGATCCTGTGTGATGTTTTAAGGCTGTAGTTTCATGGGCATTAGTGCTGCAAGCAGTGTCATCTTCTCACTGGGGTTATTTTTCAGACAGATAAGTTCACTTCAAAGCTGAACAAAGAATTGTCCCAGCAGATAGATGGGACTGGGAGACCTGCTTACATGGGAAAGGCGTAAGGCAGTCATACCATGAGACTCAGTGTTAAATAGATAGAAAAATGCCTGATGGATATAAAGCTTTCTTCCCTTCCCACTAAAAAAAAACCCCATGCAAGTTATCAAGACTCACTGTCAAAGGAATGTGCTTTTTAGTGACTTCTAACAAAGGTTATAATAGGTAACAAATGGAGACAGGTGATTCTGCTCCTTCTTTTCAAGGGCTATCAGCTCTTTCAAAGACCACAATATTCTACATACTCTGGATGCTTCCAGTCCACCTCCACAATGCTTTCCACACCCTTGGTCAGCTCCTTCACTTGTAAGATCTTCTGCTGCTGCATACTTTGCAGGAATTTAGAAAACTGAGAAAACAACCATCAGAAAAGTGGAGTTGAGCATTTTAAATCCCTCTTTGTATTTCTGACTGCCCAAAAATTGCTTGCTAAATCAGAAGAACTTATTTTTGGTGGGGCTGGGGGGGAGGAAACCCAGCACTTTGCTTCTCCAACCACAGCAATTACTAAAGAATAGAGCGTGCCTCCATGATGCCCTAAAACAGAATTAGCAAGTGTTCCTTTTGTAGGTCTGCCACCTGTTTGCTCTGTGACCTTGGCCAAATCACACTGTGTCACATGGATTGCTGTGACATCTTTGGCAACAGGCTTTGGCCTTGCCTGTCATCTCCACTCTTTTCATCTTTGTTCATTAATAGCTTCAGAAAAGGAATGATCCCTCCTTGCAAGAAACTGCAATGTCCAACAAGATCAGAGCCTTTAACAGCTATCAGTACAAATGCCAGACAGCATTAGATAGGTTCAAAGAAGTGCTCATGCTTTCAGGACAATAATTTTCTTCCCTTGAGCTCTCAGGAGCAGAGAGCTGAGTAAAAGAACCTGGCTTTCAGGAACAGCTTACAGGATTTTTCTGCTTTATTAACGCTTCAACATTTTTTTATCTCTTCCTACTTATTTCAAGTAACCTTTTTCCTTTTCAATAAAGGAAAAAAAAGAAGAACAACCAGGAAAATCTCACCTTCTTATAGCTTGACTTCTTTATATCCAGCTGCTGTCCAGCAGGGCTACAATGGATTTTTAAAAACAGTTCTTCAGTTTTAGGTACTCCTCATTTCTTTGTAAAGCTTCCTACTTATCTTAAAAGTATCTTAACAGCAAAAATATGAGCTCCACACAGAATTACTTCAAACAAACTACCAGACAGAACACGATGAGTTCAACTAGCACTGATGCTTCCATAGGGAAGCAAAGAGCCATTTAAGTGATCAAGAAATCCTTAAACAATCGTTAGTCAACTCAAGTTAGCTATTAGATGCATATCCTGGTTTCAATCATACAAACACCTTGATGTAAGAAGCATATTCTTAGGTAACCTTAGAAATGAGGACTGGATTTTACTTTTGAAACAAAAACCTCAGCCCAAATATTCTGTTCTAAATATTCCACTCTTTCTTGCAAGCCCAAAGACTCTTCTTACCACATACCAGCATGAGAACATATGGCTGCGTAGAAATGTGCTGGTGAGCAGAGGGAGGTCTGATTTCTTCACTTTGCATTTTAGAGCATGAAAAAAGCACTGATTAAATAATGCATCCATTTGCTCTGTAGGGAAGAAAAGGAC